GCCACAAGGGTGTGCATTTTTTCAGCATCTCAACTTCCAAAAGTGCTCTGAGAATGATGTGCTTTGTGCATTTTGACTTGGAAGTGTGCTTCGCGCCACATCTGCGTGCATTTGTTTCATCTCTCATCTGACCACATGGCTCCGCACCCGCTGCTCTAGCGAGCCTACTTTTCGATCCTCCGGAGCCACAAATATCATTGGAAAAACACAATGTTTCGCGACTTTCCTACCTTTTCGCGCACCTGCATCTTCTTTCTTCTCACTCTTTCTCTTCTCTTATCTTCTCTCTTCTGCTCTTCTCCTCTCTGACTCTTCCCACCTCTGCTTTTCCATCTGTCCATATTGTCGGAAGTTTGACTTCTAAACTTCCTTCAACTAGATGTTATCAGTCTGTATGGAAGGAACATTTTGCAGCTCAGAATCTTGGAAACCCAAAGTTGGTTCCTTTCTGTTTGCCACCAAGTAGCAAATCAAACAGCTCAGCGTACTTGAATGGAGCGGCCTTTAAACTTAGAAAGTTCACAACACCATGCCGAGCCAGTGAAGATTTTGTAACGTGGAGCAGACTCTCAGTTCCCTACAGCAGCATGTCGAACCTTCACAAGCAGGCGCGCGGGCGCAGCGATCAGTGAGGCAAAGAGATGTGAAGAAATCAAGCAAACCAAGCCGTCAACAGAGATCTGCCTTTTGGCTAGCTAAACAAACCAAAAACAAATGCAGCAGATAGCCATGTTCTACGTAGCCATTCTGCGTCATTCTGGCAAAGAATAGCAAATGCTGCTGATGTCGCATGTGACATGTACTGTAGATACATGTAGAATCATGTAACACCCGTTGCACCTGCAAACGGGTTGCCAGCTTTCTGCAAGACCTGAAGCAACGGAATAAAGTCAGGCAAAGTCACAATGTCTTTGATCGTTTCTGGTCATTGATCTTCCCGTCGTTTTGTGTCTCTGTGTTTTTGGGTAGCCTTTAATGATTCGCAAAGAATGGTGAGGGTGGTTGAGGAAGGTGTTTCACAGATACATCAAGTGTCATTCAGTCAGATTCAATCAGTGCAAACATGAAGTCTGCTAGGCTGCTAGGCTACGTCCACCGCAATGGACACCTCATAGCTCGGAGGCTCCTCGACCCTGCCTCAATGTCCGTTGCCCCAAGCGAAGTGCCATTGGGAAAAGACCTGAGCTGATAGGTCCAATACACATCAAATACACATCAAAACATGGCGAAATAAGAACAGGCTGATGGCAAAGCAAGAAATGGTTTCATGTGGTGAAGATCATGACATGGTCAGAACCAAGGAGACGACAGGGCAGGAAACAGGCGCGGCGAGATGCCAGTGAAACGAAGGCAACTCGAACAATCTGAAGATAATGTATTTCGACGTTGTTGCATGGCCGTAGGCTGGCGGAGTTGAAGAAATCTCAATGTTTTCAATATGTGCCCAATGTGAAATATATCTCATGGATCCATCACTTTTTTGGTTTGCTGATGTTTTCTCAGTATGGCAAGCCTGGGAAAACGGGGATGCAGCTCTGCAAGCACTGCAAACAATACACTCATGACAAACATATGGAGCTTCAGGCAGCTTCCGGCGCTTCCTCGCACCTCTGATGAGCCCATGAAGAGGAGAACTCCGCCCAAGGCGGCACATGGAGCCTTGACCTCCAACATGGCATACCTTAGTAACTTAGTCAGGAAAACTGCTCTGAGCAAGGACTGTTTTCCTCACAATCTCTCACAATATCTCACAATATCTCACAATCATGACAATCACCATAATCCAGGATCGGGTAAAAAAGGTCAAATACAGTTCCAGTTGGGCAGGGTTGCCTTGTTCATAGGTTTGGAGTCCAGAGTGGTCGAAAAGCCTCTTGACTAATGATAGTGACTAGTGAACCAACCTGCATAGATTTGTTAACATCGCCTTGTTCGGCCTTGCTATGAAAGGCTCGTTGCACTCGTCCACACCAGTACTCAGGTGTAGACCCTAAAATGTAGTAGCTCATACCAAGCATAAGCTGATTGATTCCGACGCTCATAGACACCCTCGCAAAAGCATCGTAGGTCTGCCAGTAAACAGCAGCCTGAGAAGGAAAGGGTCTGAAGGAACAAATCCACAGTGAATTGCACTGCTGTCTGCTTAGAAATTCGACAGACAGAGTGTCTCTGTTTCAGTCTAAGCCTGGCCTGCCGAAGCAGCTTGATGTGGCGCAATTCAGCCACCTCCGCATGCATTTTGACTCTCCTTCAACATCTTCAACCCTCAGTTTTCTTGAAGCTGCCTCAGCACCGCTATAGGTATTGAGCTCGTAGATGTTGTCTCCTTCCAGCGCTACACGATGGGAACTGGAATCCAACTATCGTCTTTCACTTCTTTCACTCAAATCATGTGATCAACTCCTCGTTGCTCAAGGCCCCAAGGGTCAGTGGCCACGTTTCGCTCCACCTTCAAAGTGTTCCAGGAAAGTTTCAAAACGTTGGATAATGAAATCGATGAAATGTGATGATGAAGCACTGGACTCATGATCTCAGAAACAAAAAATAGCACTTGGCAAGAATTGGCACTTTCCCATACTTTGCCCAGCTTGTTGTTCGCTTCTCTCTTGCCTGCTGATCGGTGCCGCCGGTGTTGCCCGTTGTTTCTACCACGCTGGCAGCGGTGCTGACGCCGGTAGCTGGGTCTGCGGTGTGTCCTGCGGCTTTCAAACTGCTGCAACTGTCCATCCTTGTCACATCTTGTCCCATCTTGTTCCATCTTGTCCCAGCGAAATCAGACGAAGACCAGTATGAGTCGGTTCCATCAGATTCTCACAGAACTAACATGAACTAACGCACCTGGAATGAAGCCCTCTTGACTGCCAGTGACAAACGGAACGCGAAACATCTGCCTGCATCGCACTCGTCACATCTCACCCACAAGCGACAAACTCGGGACCCATGAAAGTCACTTCCAATGTGGAAAAGAAGGCCCCTAAATGGCCCTAAGACATCCTAAGACTCTAAGAATCTCTAAGATGCACTGAGGGGCTCTCTGGGGCTGTTCGGCAGAGCCTCGATTCGATCTTCTCGAATTCAGATGCGGCTGTACGTGCAGCCTGGAAAGCTTCGGCATGCTGTCTGGCAACAAACACCTCAATAGAGTGCCAATGAACAAAGAGAATAATCAAAGTCAAAGTACAAAACAACACAAACACGTGCACCTACATACTGTGCAGAAGTCTGCTCCAGTCCGTCGGACTTGTCGAGCTCTCATCCCAGCCCAAGCGCCTCAAGTTCCTTCCAAGTTGGGATTGGCAGCCTGACCTTGAAGTTCCAGGAGTATCAAGGCCCAAGGCAATGCTAAACTGTAAACAGCGCTTCAAAAACCAGGCTGTTTTTTGAGTTGCACGCCAGTTGAGTCAATATTCTCGTCTGGTAGCTCTGGGCTGCAACAGCAGCATGCATTGCCAACCTCCGTCCGCTGGAGGTAACACGTGTGAAAGAGCGTAAATCAGTAAATCAGTAAATCCATCATATTGTTATCATGCTCATTCATGTTCCTCATCTGTATCTATCTAATGCGAGGGACTCTGATGTGCTGAGAGACCCTGCCAAATGGTCAGCACGAGGTAAGAGAAGGCGACAACAGACGCAATTTGGTAGCCTGGTTGCTGCAAGCAGCACTAGTTTGGCTCAGATAGCATCCTGGGCTGTTATCACTGGCCATCACTGCAAACGAGCCGGGCGCGCCAATGACCAACCAATCCGGAGTGGTTTCTGGAAGTTGGCCCTCTACCCACATAGTGACAGTGAAGCTGAGTAACAAAACCTGAGGCTAGTGAAAGCGCAGCTTGGGAACGCGCTCAAAGTGCATGCATCATCATGCATCCTGATCAAACTTCCAAGCATCTGGCATTAACAATCAGGTACAAAGACATCTTTTGCTCCGTCAGAGAAATGAAGTCCCGAACATCCTTCAAGACAGCAACGCAATTTCTGACCATAACAAAAAAGATTTGGTCCATAACAAAATATATGGTATACCTTTACCACACCCAGTCTGCAAAATCCTTCTATGCGGAAGCTACATTTCGTGGTCACTGAAGCAATTGAGACAAGCTCATGAGAATCCACAAAGGAGCGAATGCCTGAATGATTAGCAGGAAGGGATGTTTTTCTGAGTGAAGGGTCACAGTCAATCTATGTCATGCCATCCATCTGTGTCCATGTTGCACCTGGCGCCAAAGCTGACCCTGGATGACTCGGTACTTCCGCTCATGGAATTCCTTCTTCATCCCTGGCGCCACTGCCATATTGTGGCCACATGTGATAGCTCGTCATAGACTATCCATTGCTTTCAATCCAGCTCAAAAGCTTGTCTGGGAGAAGCATGCAGATTGCACGTTGCTCACGGTCTTCCATGAAGTTGTCTCGGTTGTACCCATAAACCTGTCAATTGCTTGCAGCTTGATGGAAACTTGATAGAAAGGTGCATTGGTGCTGCAAGGGGCACCTTGGCAGCAGTACCTGAGAGAAGAGCTCACATCTGTCATCCAAAATGGGTGAACTTTGATGACTTCAAACCTGGAAGCGGGTGATTCCAAAAGCTTCCATCTTGGTTGTTACACGAGTCATAGCACGATATCATCTCAGATCCTTGTGTCTTGCAGAGGAACCTGGTGCCATGCCAGCGGCAGCAACAGCTGCCCCAGACTCGAGAATCACCATGGCTGCTATGAAGGGATTTCCTGAGAGGCTCTATCTGGAAATTACCTCTTGATGATCTCTTGATGCAAAGGCTTGATGACCACATTGGAAGTCCATGCAGCACTTGGGAGGCGGCTGGCTCGCTATCAAACAGGATGCAGCTAGAAGCCTCAGCACAAAGAGATCTTAAATCATCAAGGGCAGGGAAAAAAATACGGAACGGTGTGCTATGCCTCACTGGTTGGCCCGTAAACCTTTAGTCATCACAAGCTTGAGTTGGCTAAGTCTGGGACTGCGCTTCATGTCCTTACTCAAGACAATGCAGCGCGGTAGCAGATTTCAGGACTTTACAAGTTTGATCGAGTTTGACATGCAAGCGGTGCAATATGTAGATTGGAGCAATGAACTCCAAGCTGAAGATCGGGCTTAGTACGGAGGGTTGATGATGTGAGGGTCAACGACAGCAAGCTGACGTGGACCAAAGCTCAAAAAGCTAAACCTTTTTGGCTGCAGACTCCAATGAAATACGGATCATGACATCAAACACACCATGGTGCAAATCAAGTCGCATCAACATGCATCAAATGCCACGGTCAAAACGGGGGAGGAAGAGCGTTCAAGAAGAAGGCGACTGGTTTTTGCAGAACCTTTTCTCGCTCCACCCTCACGAGGAACAAGTTACCATCAGCTGTACAGGTTGAAGGCACTTGCCGCAAGAACCCAAGCTGGAGATTGATTGGAAAGATGATGAAAGATGTGTCTGGATCTGGCATTTGGAGCCAACGACATAGTGTGATGAAAGTTATTGCCAGATCGGACACGCAGCTGCATTTCACCTCAAGCCCTTCAGCAAAGCTTCCATCTCCTGTCACTACGCATACATATATATCAGATTGCGTGCTATGCTTCTCGATGATCTATCATCTGCATTTCATTCTAGAGGTTAAAGGTGCATGCTAGAAGTTAAAGGTGTTCTTTCACAGAGCATCAATCACTTCTTTTTTGTATCAAACAGTTCAAACCACCACCAAACAAGGGCCTTAGCTTTACTATGCCCCTTTTGGTTCTGACTCCACTTTGGTTAGGGACTCCGGAGAATTATAGGCAAACAAATTGCAAAGAACATCCAAAGTGCGGCCCAAAGCCTCGCAATCTCCGCTGAGCTTGGTCATCTTGCACTTGTAGAAGCTGACAGTTCAGTCGAAGTTCAGTCAATTCACTTTTGCCAAGCTGATATTAGCTAGAAGCTTAGCTATAGAAGCTGAGAACATCTGAGAATACACATGGTCATACAGTCTGCATACTGTCTGTCATACTGGCCAGCAATGCCCATCAGCCCAGGAATTGGATCGTCTCAAAGAGATGGTCTGAGACCATACAAATCCGAGTCTGGATCTATGCAATTCGGCCTCTGAATGCTTTCGAGGTGGTGGCGATCCTTCTCAGAGACCAAATTCACAGCCACGCCCTTGAGACCGAACCTGCACCACGGGCACTACAAGCATCACAAAGTTCGAGGATCACAATAGGTATACCATGGTATACCACAGTATCACTATCACTGTAGGCATTCATCTTGGGGGACAACCGGATTCCCTGCCATAAGCTCTGGAGATTCCAAGCCCACCTTCCGGTTCGGCCAATGCGGTGCATGTAAGTCTCAAAGTCAGGCTGTCCGTAGCTGCTGTAGCTCATGGGAAGTTCGTAGTTCACCACCTCTGCACACTGGAAGTGAGTTCCTTTTTCTATACCATTGCCTGAGGACTCCTGAGTACAGGGCAAGAGTCACAGCAGGAACGTCAATGCCACGCGACAGCACATCGGTGGCAATCAGAACCTGTGCCAAGTCACTTCTCGTCACGGATTGTTTGCTCACGCTCTACCCCTCTCCCTCAAAGATCTGTACGCAATTGTCAGTGTGTTGTGTCAGTCGTGTATGTATATATATATTATATATATATAAATACTCGCTCTGTGATCGAGAGCGGGAGAGCCTTCGTGACACCGCTGCGGAACTCGCTCATGACCTGATTCCAAAGCAAAGTCGGAAACTTACTTTGCACATCTTGCTCTCCGAAGTTTGGTGAGTCTTATTCTACTCATTCCTTTGCACCTTACACTGCGATCCATGATTATTCCATGATTAAAGCGTGCAATTCCCAATCGCGTTAAATGCATCCAAGCTGAAAACGCGATCGCGGTAGGCCACATCAATGCGCTCCGGACCTTTGTGTGACTCGGGATTGAAAAAAGCTCCAAGGAAAGCCCTACCAATTCCAAACGCTTCCCCAAGGGATGTCAAACCTGGGATCGAAGTAGCACGAAAGGCGGCTGGTGCTGATTTGTCAAGACTTGCTGTATGAGCACTACCAACTTGGGAGCAAACCAGTCTTCTGTGTCCCACAAATCAGAGACACCTCAATCGCTAATGTTTCCAGTACTATGATGACATGCTAAGTAAGCGCTTGTCGGGATTCTGTCGGCCAGTGGCTCTAAGATCCCTGGCGGCATGGCCCTCTGCCTTCATGGTCTTGGCTAGGTCGAAGGCTCCCTGCCTGCACATCAACTGGATTTGATGGGGCCATCACAGTGTTAAGCTTAACATAGCTAACATAACCCAATGTCTGGGTGAGTTGATGTAGCTGCTCTGTAGCTGATGTGGGCTCTATCCGGCCTGGAGTTAACAAAGATGATGCTTTGGCCAATGTTCAAAGCACCATAAAGATCGGAGAGTTGTCCCTGCTTCTTGTCGGGTCTGCCAACATCAATGTACCTGGTCAAGTCTGTGAAAAGGCCTGCAGCATCCTGCAGCCTCCGAACACCTGGGGCATCGGCCCTCAGACTCAGTTTCGCACGTCTGTGTGATAGTAGTGAGGGTCAAATCCTCCTTTTGGACCTGCAGTTCGTCACTATGAAGCCACAATAGAATACAGTAGATCAATGCAGCATAATATCAATCATACAGTAACAGCAGTAACAATTCATAACATGCATCCAACAAGATGGTGCTTCACGAGGTAAAGCAGCTGCACATCCTGAAGTATCCTGCCTTGATCGTGTTCGCCTTTGGGACAAGCATCCTGGGCGTGTCTTGAGTACATATATATCTCTATCAAATCTCCATTTATGCCGATAGCTCACCTTGCGGCATTGTCTTGTTTCAGCATCATCTGCAGTTTGTATTGGTGCGTTCTGCCATGACTAATGTGAATGATGTGAGCTCTATTCAAGACATCAACGGATTAAATAAGCCCCTAGCTTTGCAAATTTCTCAACATGGTCTGGCCATGTTGCTGAGAATAACAGCACCTATCACGCACAAGAACGACTGCACTCTTGAAATTTATTGAAATTTGACATGACGAGAAAACATGCGGGCGCAAATTGCAACGTTGCAGGTTCCACCTGGACTTTGTCAGGAAGCATCCTCCGCACTTGAACGACCTTTCAGTCACAGTGGCAGACGGCATTGCGTAGACTTCTTACAGTGGAGAAAAAACGCAAAGATCCAGACCTGTGGTCCCATCTGTTGCCCCTGACCAGGGTCACACCAACTCGGAGGATTCACAATTCCGACTATCAAAAATGGCTTCAGGCTTCCAGATGATAATGACCAGAAGTTTTGGCAGTCGTTTTGAACAACGCTTGGAGCCTGAGCAGATCCCCGATTTGGGACATCAAATTAAGCTGCAGCAGTGAACCTTGAGTCGGCGACATGGCCAGCCTATGAGCTGTAGCCAGTCACTCACGTGCGCGCAAGAGTGGGTTGCATCGGTTGACGCTTCCGCAACTGAGCACGTACGAAGCGACCCCAGGCAGAGCTGCATGGGAAAATACGGCGAATTCGTGAGACGAAATCAAAATGTTGTCTCACTTGGGCTGGCACAACCAAGTGATCAGAGAAACATGGTTGAGTCTAGCCATCTAGATAGGGTATTCGCCAGGGAAGAGTAAATAGAGCAACCAATGCTCCTTGCTCCGAAATGTGAAGCTCAAAAATGCTTCAACAACTCGGAATCTGTATACAATCTGTACAATAACAAAATTGCGGCCTAGAACAGGCAAGTGCCCACATGATCAGAAGATATCAGAAGTGTTCCTTGAAGAAGGAGAAGCGGGTGCCACCAGGCGTGCCAACCAAATCAGAATTCTTGATGCTTTCTCGAGACAGTGCTTCTCCAATGATGGGGGATCCGCACAAGAAGACACCAATGTGCTGGCCCTTGTGCTTGTCACGGTTCTGCTTGAAGATACGACCCCAATTTGGCCGCCCAAAGAACTGGCCAGTTGCGCAGGGGAGTTTCTTCACCTCAGCTGAGGCAGGTTGCAAAATCTCACACCTATTACTGATCATGGCTTATTGATATATTCACAGAGCATACAGTCATGAGTCTTTCTGTAAAAGATAGAGGAGTCACGTGGAGTCATTATATAGACTAGACTAGACTATCTCATGTGTTTGTCAGGAGTCATACAGTCATGAGTCTTCCTGTCAAAGCTAAAGCAGTCACGTGGAGTCACTATATCATACTATAATTATTATATTATATATAATATACTATAACAATATAATATACTATATTAATATTACATTCTCATTTTAGGATCTTGATTGAAGACTTGCTCTTCGGCTTTAGTCGGAATCCGGCCTGGGAGAGCTCGACCTCACCAGTCAAGAACAAAGTGATGTCAACGATCCCCGCTGCTGGACCCTCTGCTGCATCAGACAAAAGGTCACAGAACCAGTCGAACTCTTCCTGGCCACGGCAGATCCAATAGAAGTAGATCCTGACTCCATGGGCTCAAGATGCTCAAGAGATGTCGAAGCCAAAAAATGAACACACACACACACATGCAAAAAAAAGATGTCATGACTCATGAGACATGTTTCAAGAACAGTTCTGATTAGTTGGACTTGTTCCAACTCCCTTGACCCGATGTTTGGGGAAAGCCACCAGGAAAAACTCGGACAAAACAATAAGAACCATCACAGGAAACATCACAGCAAACGTCGAAACATGTCGAAACTCAAACCGTTCCAACATGTTACAACGTTTTCGGCACCAAGGATCTTCTTTGGAACTACCACGAGATCCTCTACCAGGCGTTCAAGGCCAGCCCGCGAATCGTCAGTGCCCATGGCGCTCTTCCATGCTGAAGATCTGGCCGTGTTCATGATGGTCTCTCGCTGCTTGGCCCGCAGCTGTACGGATTTCAGGATTGAAGCGAAGGGAGTGACTCCAATACCAGCGCCCACCACCATCAAAGTATCGAAGCCCCAAACTTTCTGGGCAGGAGCACCAAAAGGGCCTGTGACTTGCAAAACCACGGACTCTGGTGGAAGCATGCCGGGCTGAACATGGCTCACCATGGTCTCTCCAGATTGAGCTGGTTTCAACTGCTTTCCTGAAATGTCTCGGCCCAAGAGTCTTGGACCTTGGTCACCATGGTCATCAGACTTTCCTGAGACCTTGGGAGTGTTGAAGACAACGGGACTGTTGGGGAGTGTGCACTTGTTGTATTCAATCAACAAGGGAGCCCTGGGTGGCTTGCTGTCTGCTGCGTCAATGCCAGCTGCTTGGGCCGGAGCTTCTTGGGTCAAGCGCTTGCGCAGCGCAGAGCACCAGTCCAGGGTGTTGGGTGCACGGATGTGGACGCTGATGCAGTTTTCCTCTGGTGCTGAGGTCAGCGTGAAAGGATGCCACTCACCCTTCCAGCCCAGCAGAATGTACTGACCAGCCTGGTAGGCAAATCCCTGAGGTAGCTCAAAGGTCAGCCCAATCACATCCCTGGGCAGGAGTTTTACACTCTTCAAGTGGAGGTAAAGAGCTTGGTGGTTGGCTAAGAGCAAGCGGTCCACAATCACGAAGATGGCTGGGAAGAAGAACCAGATCCAAAGCCGTGCAGGTGCATGGAGCAAAAGCAACACATAAATCAACTTCCAAGACATGTGAATCCTCCAGAACAAGTTGAAGCCACCAATTCGACGAGTCAGGCAGTTGGTGCGGCGTCGAGAGCAGTTCAGCGCAGTGAGCAGGATGGCCAGCATCATGACGGTCAAGATGATGCCAGTGAGCCCCGCACAGCGCAGCTGAATGTTGAAGATCTGCCAGCGGAGAGGCTGTTGCACCGCATGAAGTTTGACAAAATCTGTGCCAAATGATGTTCGACAAAATTCCAAAGATAAAATGGAGAAAGAATGGAGTAGCCAACATTTTCCGGGGCCCAGTCTGTCCTTAAAGTTCTTAAAGACTCTACATGCGAAATCTGCCCTGCCTGGTGGAAGAACGTCATGCCACTGGCCTTTTCTTCCGATGTCAGCTTCCAAAGATCGAAAGGATCTGACTGAATCGTTGGAGCTGCACGGATGAGGTAGGCATGCACACAATGCCCAGCAATGTGAATGGCTGCTGCAATCATGGTGAACATGGCAATGACAATGTGAAAGTTGATGGGATCATCAATGGGAACCCACTCTCTGGAAGAACCCACCCGTCTCATGGTGGTCTGAAGGCTCTTCAGAGTAGGCAGCACCAACAACGCAAAGTTCAGGTCCATAGCATAGCCGCCGCCCTTGGCACAAGGGTAGGCCCAAGACTTTTTGAAGCCGCCTGACATGTTGGATAAGAAGCCAATCGCGAAGACCACCACGTTCATCAGGAACAAAATGAAAGTGGTGAGCTGCTGTTCTCCCAGTCCGCACTTGCGGAAGCATCGTGTGATGGATTGAAACCATGAAAGTGACTCCTCAGGCAAAGCCACTTCTGCTGCTTTGTCAGTGCCACCCTCTTCATCTCCACAATGAGCGTTGGCTTTCTTGGCCCACTCCTTCCTTCGCTGTGCCACAAGCTGTCTCCTTTCCTCCACAAGTCGATCCATGGTGGCTTTTGACAGGATCCATACCAAGAGTCGAGGTCGATAACGTCTGGAAAACAGCCAGCTCCCAGGCTTCCTGTAGGCATGGATTGCAGCAATGATGTAGATGATCAAGATCAAACCCAGGAAAGCTCCAACGCCAAGTGCAACGTTCTCGGCGTACTCAAAGGCAAAGCCAGTGACTTTAATGCTACCCTTGTGAGATCGGTTGGTGAAATCATTGTTTCTGGTGCTGGCAAAGTGGTGCTCACCCACCACCTTCATCTCGACCAAACCACCATCAAAGTAGGCTGACGCACCATTCAGTTGCTTGCAATTGGTCTCAGAGTTTTGGTCGTTGGTCTCTGGATCACAGGTCACAATCTTGTCTTGGTCCAGATAGGCAAATCGATCCACCAAGGCCTTCCCCTCGGGATCATTGGGGTTTGCCTGGGCATCAAAGAGAAGCGTCTGCTTCTCCAAGGGCAACGGAATCGTCTCAGCCCGTGACTGGACCTGAACCAAGTTGGATCGGTCTGTGCCAGCACGACCGTTGCCCGCATTGTTGTTATTGTTGGCATCTGATCCTGTCCATTGGAAGTGCAAGAGAGTGCCAACCTCCACAGACAGCTCTGATGGAATGAAGTCGTACTCCACAGAGGGGTACACTTGAACGATGTTTCCACGACGACCGCGGATGTTCAAGTTCACAATCCGTCGGTCCATGGGGACATCTGCCGGCCGCTCCATGACCATGAAGGTATGTGTTCGGTCCTCAAATGTTCGGCCAAACTGGTTGGTGTTCACTTGAAGCTGCAAAAGACGGCTGGTGTCAAGTGCATTTTCTCCCAGGCCCAGCCAGTCTGCCACAGGATCTTGGGCCAAAGGCAAGGGAACACCAGGTCGTCCACTGAAGGTCCTGCGACGACGATTGTTGGGGTTTGGGTCATTGAACTTGGCATCCATGAAGAACGGATCTGCTTTCATGCCTTCAGGGTCTCAAGGGTCTGAAGAGTCCGAGGTTTCAACCCGTGCAGGAAGTCAATACAATTCAATTCAGTTAAAACTGATGTACAATGAGTATATTATAATATAATTATATATATATATAATGATAATGTATACATATGTATACATATGTGTCATATGTGTTTGCTTTCTATGTTCTCTGATCTTTTGTCCAGCACCTGACAACTGAGCACCCTCTTCAACTGGATTCGCCAGAGAGCCGTAGTCGAAGTCCTTGGTAGTGATGTTGTAGCGAATTCGCAACACCACACGACCTGTCAAGAACTCGGGAATCTTCCACATGTAGTAGTGAGGCTGACCATTCCTCACGTTGCCGTTGTGGTTGTCCCGGCTGCTGATTCCTCCAGTGCATTCAGGAGGTGGCTCTTCAAAGGCAGCTTGCTCCTTCCACTCGCCATTGTTTGCAGTACAAGCATCCGGGTTGTTGTACTGTGGGAGAGTGCAATAACCCTTGGCTTTCACATTCTGAGACTCGGTCCTGTAATATTCGCAACGCTCCTGTGGCTCCTCTGTCAAAACAGCAATGTCATGCCATGGAGTGGGGTGCCAATAAGGGTAGTAGTCGCGCTCCTCAGGGCATTCCAGGCCATGTCGTTGTTGCCCACGACGACGGCCATTGCCGTTCGGGTTCTGACGCGTTGATGTGGCACCGCCGTTCTCTTCGATTTGCTGATCTGCTGTGAAGAGCCCCTTGTTGCGCTCTCGCTCAATGCCTTGGATTCAAGTCACTGAAACATACTGAAACAAGAAGACAGGCCATCTGTCAAATGAATTCAAATGACATAGGCCGACAAAGGCTGTATATTTGCAGCAACACCATGTTCAACACTAACACTGCATCAACACTACGTCAACACGACGTCAACACGACGTCAGAATTTCAAGGCTTGACGGCTTGACCGTTCAAGATCACTTCAAGATGTCAACATATGTCAACAATGATGTCCGATGTCCAAAGACGTCCAAGGTGCAAGTCTGGTAGAAGTCGTATAGCTCATGGTAACCTCGCGACTCCTCAGCAGTTTCTTCCTCCGTGGGATCATCGTTATCCCCACCTGCACTGGTTTGGTCTGTGCCATCCCGGAGGTTGGGATTGTCATTTTCGGTCATGTACTGAAGGACGATTTGACATCGCAGGTTTGGATGTCCCACGCCACAGCCATGTTGATGATGCCACTCAATGTAGAGCTCTGAACCCTGGTAGAACTTCATGGTACCCTTTGTGGCACCTTCGACTGTGACATCATAATTGTTGTTTTCGTCCTTGCAGGCTGGCTTGCAGTCATCTCCGATCTGGTATCCGGACGCTGCGTTGTTCTGAGAGTCAAACAACCTGTTTGCGTTTTGCACGTTGTTGCTTTGTTCACGAAGCTTGTTGTTGGATCCTCGTGGACTGTTCAAGTACATGTCCGCATTGGAAGACCGGATCGCTGCGAGCAGCAAGGTCGTAATTACTCGGAATGCCATGACTGCCATGGTTCGAAATGGTTCGAAATGGTTCGAAATGGTTCAGAAGACAGGTGCTTCCAACTGCTGAGCGTGGGCACTTCAAGCCAAAGATCGCAAATGCTTCAGATGACCAGCAAACATGTTTCATCATGGTTCAGTCAGGTCAGAGACTGTTAGGTCATGTTAGGTCTGAAGTCTGAAGTCTCTTTATTCTCAGAACAGAAAGTCGTGCAGTTCCACTCTGGAGAATGACCAATTATAAGTCTATATAGTTTGAAACCAAGAAGCATGCTTCCAGTGCCAGGCATGTTTTCTTTGCTTGTCTCATGCATTCATCAATTTTAATCAAATTAAGTTGCAGCAGTGAACCTTGAGTCGGCGACATGGCCAGCCTATGAGCCGTAGCCAGTCACTCACGTGCGCGCAAGAGTGGGTTGCATCGGTTGACGCTTCCGCAACTGAGCACGTACGAAGCGACCCCAGGCAGAGCTGCATGGGAAAATACGGCGAATTCGTGAGACGAAATCAAAATGTTGTCTCACTTGGGCTGGCACAACCAAGTGATCAGAGAAACATGGTTGAGTCTAGCCATCTAGATAGGGTATTCGCCAGGGAAGAGTAAATAGAGCAACCAATGCTCCTTGCTCCGAAATGTGAAGCTCAAAAATGCTTCAACAACTCGGAATCTGTATACAATCTGTACAATAACAAAATTGCGGCCTGGAACAGGCAAGTGCCCACATGATCAGAAGATATCAGAAGTGTTCCTTGAAGAAGGAGAAGCGGGTGCCACCAGGCGTGCCAACCAAATCAGAATTCTTGATGCTTTCTCGAGACAGTGCTTCTCCAATGATGGGGGATCCGCACAAGAAGACACCAATGTGCTGGCCCTTGTGCTTGTCACGGTTCTGCTTGAAGATACGACCCCAATTTGGCCGCCCAAAGAACTGGCCTGCTGCGCAGGGGAGTTTCTTCACCTCAGCTGAGGCAGGTTGCAAAATCTCACAACTATCACTGATCCTGACTTATTGATATATGAACAGAGTCACAAAGAGATCATGGCTTTGAGGTGTGTTTGTCAGGAGTCATACAGTCATGAGTCTTCCTGTCAAAGCTAAAGCAGTCACGTGGAGTCACTATATCATACTATAATTATTATATTATATATAATATACTATAACAATATAATATACTATATTAATATTACATTCTCATTTTAGGATCTTGATTGAAGACTTGCTCTTCGGCTTTAGTCGGAATCCGGCCTGGGAAAGCTCGACCTCACCAGTCAAGAACTAAGTGATGTCAACGATCCCCGCTGCTGGACCCTCTGCTGCATCAGACAAAAGGTCACAGAACCAGTCGAACTCTTCCTGGCCACGGCAGATCCAATAGAAGTAGATCCTGAGACTCCGTGGGCTCAAGATGCTCAAGAGATGTCGAAGCCAAAAAATGAACACACACGCGCACACATGCAAGGAAAAAAAAGATGTCATGACTCATGAGACATGTTTCAAGAACAGTTCTGATTAGTTGGACTTGTTCCAACTCCCTTGACCCGATTTTTTGGGGAAAGCCACCAGGAAAAACTCGGACAAAACAATAAGAACCATCACAGGAAACATCACTGCAAACGTCGAAACATGTCGAAACTCAAACCGTTCCAACATGTTACAACGTTTTTGGCACCAAGGATCTTCTTTGGAACTACCACGAGATCCTCTACCAGGCGTTCAAGGCCAGCCCGCGAATCGTCAGTGCCCATGGCGCTCTTCCATGCTGAAGGTCTGGCTGTGTTCATGATGGTCTCTCGCTGCTTGGCCCGCAGCTGTACGGATTTCAGGATTGAAGCGAAGGGAGTGACTCCAATACCAGCGCCCACCACCATCAAAGTATCGAAGCCCCAAACTTTCTGGGCAGGAGCACCGAAAGGGCCTGTGACTTGCAAAACCACGGACTCTGTTGGAAGCATGCCGGGCTGAACATGGCTCACCATGGTCTCTCCAGATTGAGCTGGTTTCAACTGCTTTCCTGAAATGTCTCGGCCCAAGAGTCTTGGACCTTGGTCACCATGGTCATCAGACTTTCCTGAGACCTTGGGAGTGTTGAAGACAACGGGACTGTTGGGGAGTGTGCACTTGTTGTATTCAATCAACAAGGGAGCCCTGGGTGGCTTGCTGTCTGCTGCGTCAATGCCAGCTGCTTGGGCCGGAGCTTCTTGGGTCAAGCGCTTGCGCAGCGCAGAGCACCAGTCCAGGGTGTTGGGTGCACGGATGTGGACGCTGATGCAGTTTTCCTCTGGTGCTGAGGTCAGCGTGAAAGGATGCCACTCACCCTTCCAGCCCAGCAGAATGTACTGACCAGCCTGGTAGGCAAATCCCTGAGGTAGCTCAAAGGTCAGCCCAATCACATCCCTGGGCAGGAGTTTTACACTCTTCAAGTGGAGGTAAAGAGCTTGGTGGTTGGCTAAGAGCAAGCGGTCCACAATCACGAAGATGGCTGGGAAGAAGAACCAGATCCAAAGCCGTGCAGGAGCATGGAGCAAAAGCAACACATAAATCAACTTCCAAGACATGTGAATCCTCCAGAACAAGTTGAAGCCACCAATTCGACGAGTCAGGCAGTTGGTGCGGCGTCGAGAGCAGTTCAGCGCAGTGAGCAGGATGGCCAGCATCATGACGGTCAAGATGATGCCAGTGAGCCCCGCACAGCGCAGCTGAATGTTGAAGATCTGCCAGCGGAGAGGCTGTTGCACCGCATGAAGTTTGACAAAATCTGTGCCAAATGATGTTCGACAAAATTCCAAAGATAAAATGGAGAAAGAATGGAGTAGCCAACATTTTCCGGGGCCCAGTCTGTCCTTAAAGTTCTTAAAGACTCTACATGCGAAATCTGCCCTGCCTGGTGGAAGAACGTCATGCCACTGGCCTTTTCTTCCGATGTCAGCTTCCAAAGATCGAAAGGATCTGACTGAATCGTTGGAGCTGCACGGATGAGGTAGGCATGCACACAATGCCCAGCAATGTGAATGGCTGCTGCAATCATGGTGAACATGGCAATGACAATGTGAAAGTTGATGGGATCATCAATGGGAACCCACTCTCTGGAAGAACCCACCCGTCTCATGGTGGTCTGAAGGCTCTTCAGAGTAGGCAGCACCAACAACGCAAAGTTCAGGTCCATAGCATAGCCGCCGCCCTTGGCACAAGGGTAGGCCCAAGACTTTTTGAAGCCGCCTGACATGTTGGATAAGAAGCCAATCGCGAAGACCACCACGTTCATCAGGAACAAAATGAAAGTGGTGAGCTGCTGTTCTCCCAGTCCACACTTGCGGAAGCATCGTGTGATGGATTGAAACCATGAAAGTGACTCCTCAGGCAAAGCCACTTCTGCTGCTTTGTCAGTGCCACCCTCTTCATCTCCACAATGAGCGTTGGCTTTCTTGGCCCACTCCCTCCTTCGCTGTGCCACAAGCTGTCTCCTTTCCTCCACAAGTCGATCCATGGTGGCTTTTGACAGGATCCATACCAAGAGTCGAGGTCGATAACGTCTGGAAAACAGCCAGCTCCCAGGCTTCCTGTAGGCATGGATTGCAGCAATGATGTAGATGATCAAGATCAAACCCAGGAAAGCTCCAACGCCAAGTGCAACGTTCTCGGCGTACTCAAAGGCAAAGCCAGTGACTTTAATGCTACCCTTGTGAGATCGGTTGGTGAAATCATTGTTTCTGGTGCTGGCAAAGTGGTGCTCACCCACCACCTTCATCTCGACCAAACCACCATCAAAGTAGGCTGACGCACCATTCAGTTGCTTGCAATTGGTCTCAGAGTTTTGGTCGTTGGTCTCTGGATCACAGGTCACAATCTTGTCTTGGTCCAGATAGGCAAATCGATCCACCAAGGCCTTCCCCTCGGGATCATTGGGGTTTGCCTGGGCATCAAAGAGAAGCGTCTGCTTCTCCAAGGGCAACGGAATCGTCTCAGCCCGTGACTGGACCTGAACCAAGTTGGATCGGTCTGTGCCAGCACGACCGTTGCCCGCATTGTTGTTATTGTTGGCATCTGATCCTGTCCATTGGAAGTGCAAGAGAGTGCCAACCTCCACAGACAGCTCTGATGGAATGAAGTCGTACTCCACAGAGGGGTACACTTGAACGATGTTTCCACGACGACCGCGGATGTTCAAGTTCACAATCCGTCGGTCCATGGGGACATCTGCCGGCCGCTCCATGACCATGAAGGTATGTGTTCGGTCCTCAAATGTTCGGCCAAACTGGTTGGTGTTCACTTGAAGCTGCAAAAGACGGCTGGTGTCAAGTGCATTTTCTCCCAGGCCCAGCCAGTCTGCCACAGGATCTTGGGCCAAAGGCAAGGGAACACCAGGTCGTCCACTGAAGGTCCTGCGACGACGATTGTTGGGGTTTGGGTCATTGAACTTGGCATCCATGAAGAACGGATCTGCTTTCATGCCTTCAGGGTCTCAAGGGTCTGAAGAGTCCCAGGTTTCAACCCGTGCAGGAAGTCAATACAATTCAATTCAGTTAAAACTGATGTACAATGAGTATATTAATGTATATTATATATATAATGTATACACAAGGTATCATAAGGTTACATATGTGTCATACGTGTTTGCTTTCTATGTTCTCTGATCTTTTGTCCAGCACCTGACAACTGAGCACCCTCTTCAACTGGATTCGCCAGAGAGCCGTAGTCGAAGTCCTTGGTAGTGATGTTGTAGCGAATTCGCAACACCACACGACCTGTCAAGAACTCGGGAATCTTCCACATGTAGTAGTGAGGCTGACCATTCCTCACGTTGCCGTTGTGGTTGTCCCGGCTGCTGATTCCTCCAGTGCATTCAGGAGGTGGCTCTTCAAAGGCAGCTTGCTCCTTCCACTCGCCATTGTTTGCAGTACAAGCATCCGGGTTGTTGTACTGTGGGAGAGTGCAATAACCCTTGGCTTTCACATTCTGAGACTCGGTCCTGTAATATTCGCAACGCTCCTGTGGCTCCTCTGTCAAAACAGCAATGTCATGCCATGGAGTGGGGTGCCAATAAGGGTAGTAGTCGCGCTCCTCAGGGCATTCCAGGCCATGTCGTTGTTGCCCACGACGACGGCCATTGCCGTTCGGGTTCTGACGCGTTGATGTGGCACCGCCGTTCTCTTCGATTTGCTGATCTGCTGTGAAGAGCCCCTTGTTGCGCTCTCGCTCAATGCCTTGGATTCAAGTCACTGAAACATACTGAAACAAGAAGACAGGCCATCTGTCAAATGAATTGAAATGACATAGGCCGACAACGGCTGTATATTTGCAGCAACACCATGTTCAACACTAACACTGCATCAACACTACGTCAACACTACGTCAACACTACGTCAGAATTTCAAGGCTTGACGGCTTGACCGTTCAAGATCACTTCAAGATGTCAACATATGTCAACAATGATGTCCCCAGATGTCCAAAGACGTCCAAGGTGCAAGTCTGGTAGAAGTCGTATAGCTCATGGTAACCTCGCGACTCCTCAGCAGTTTCTTCCTCCGTGGGATCATCGTTATCCCCACCTGCACTGGTTTGGTCTGTGCCATCCCGGAGGTTGGGATTGTCATTTTCGGTCATGTACTGAAGGACGATTTGACATCGCAGGTTTGGATGTCCCACGCCACAGCCATGTTGATGATGCCACTCAATGTAGAGCTCTGAACCCTGGTAGAACTTCATGGTACCCTTTGTGGCACCTTCGACTGTGACATCATAATTGTTGTTTTCGTCCTTGCAGGCTGGCTTGCAGTCATCTCCGATCTGGTATCCGGACGCTGCGTTGTTCTGAGAGTCAAACAACCTGTTTGCGTTTTGCACGTTGTTGCTTTGTTCACGAAGCTTGTTGTTGGATCCTCGTGGACTGTTCAAGTACATGTCCGCATTGGAAGACCGGATCGCTGCGAGCAGCAAGGTCGTAATTACTCGGAATGCCATGACTGCCATGGTTCGAAATGGTTCGAAATGGTTCGAAATGGTTCAGAAGACAGGTGCTTCCAACTGCTGAGCGTGGGCACTTCAAGCCAAAGATCGCAAATGCTTCAGATGACCAGCAAACATGTTTCATCATGGTTCAGTCAGGTCAGAGACTGTTAGGTCATGTTAGGTCTGAAGTCTGAAGTCTCTTTATTCTCAGAACAGAAAGTCGTGCAGTTCCACTCTGGAGAATGACCAATTATAAGTCTATATAGTTTGAAACCAAGAAGCATGCTTCCAGTGCCAGGCATGTTTTCTTTGCTTGTCTCATGCATTCATCAATTTTAATCAAATTAAGTTGCAGCAGTGAACCTTGAGTCGGCGACATGGCCAGCCTATGAGCCGTAGCCAGTCACTCACGTGCGCGCAAGAGTGGGTTGCATCGGTTGACGCTTCCGCAACTGAGCACGTACGAAGCGACCCCAGGCAGAGCTGCATGGGAAAATACGGCGAATTCGTGAGACGAAATCAAAATGTTGTCTCACTTGGGCTGGCACAACCAAGTGATCAGAGAAACATGGTTGAGTCTAGCCATCTAGATAGGGTATTCGCCAGGGAAGAGTCAATGGAGCAACCAATGCTGCTTGCTCCGAAATGTGAAGCTCAAAAATGCTTCAACAACTCGGAATCTGTATACAATCTGTACAATAACAAAATTGCGGCCTGGAACAGGCAAGTGCCCACATGATCAGAAGATATCAGAAGTGTTCCTTGAAGAAGGAGAAGCGGGTGCCACCAGGCGTGCCAACCAAATCAGAATTCTTGATGCTTTCTCGAGACAGTGCTTCTCCAATGATGGGGGATCCGCACAAGAAGACACCAATGTGCTGGCCCTTGTGCTTGTCACGGTTCTGCTTGAAGATACGACCCCAATTTGGCCGCCCAAAGAACTGGCCTGCTGCGCAGGGGAGTTTCTTCACCTCAGCTGAGGCAGGTTGCAAAATCTCACAACTATCACTGATCCTGACTTATTGATATATGAACAGAGTCACAAAGAGATCATGGCTTTGAGGTGTGTTTGTCAGGAGTCATACAGTCATGAGTCTTCCTGTCAAAGCTAAAGCAGTCACGTGGAGTCACTATATCATACTATAATTATCATAATATACTATACCAATATATATAATATACTATATTACATTCTCATTTTATCTCATTTTAGGATCTTGATTGAAGACTTGCTCTTCGGCTTTAGTCGGAATCCGGCCTGGGAAAGCTCGACCTCACCAGTCAAGAACAAAGTGATGTCAACGATCCCCGCTGCTGGACCCTCTGCTGCATCAGACAAAAGGTCACAGAACCAGTCGAACTCTTCCTGGCCACGGCAGATCCAATAGAAGTAGATCCTGAGACTCCGTGGGCTCAAGATGCTCAAGAGATGTCGAAGCCAAAAAATGAACACACACGCGCACACATGCAAGGAAAAAAAGATGTCATGACTCATGAGACATGTTTCAGGAACAGTTCTGATTAGTTGGACTTGTTCCAACTCCCTTGACCCGATTTTTTGGGGAAAGCCACAAGGAAAAACTCGGACAAAACAATAAGAACCATCACAGGAAACATCACTGCAAACGTCGAAACATGTCGAAACTCAAACCGTTCCAACATGTTACAACGTTTTTGGCACCAAGGATCTTCTTTGGAACTACCACGAGATCCTCTACCAGGCGTTCAAGGCCAGCCCGCGAATCGTCAGTGCCCATGGCGCTCTTCCATGCTGAAGGTCTGGCTGTGTTCATGATGGTCTCTCGCTGCTTGGCCCGCAGCTGTACGGATTTCAGGATTGAAGCGAAGGGAGTGACTCCAATACCAGCGCCCACCACCATCAAAGTATCGAAGCCCCAAACTTTCTGGGCAGGAGCACCGAAAGGGCCTGTGACTTGCAAAACCACGGACTCTGTTGGAAGCATGCCGGGCTGAACATGGCTCACCATGGTCTCTCCAGATTGAGCTGGTTTCAACTGCTTTCCTGAAATGTCTCGGCCCAAGAGTCTTGGACCTTGGTCACCATGGTCATCAGACTTTCCTGAGACCTTGGGAGTGTTGAAGACAACGGGACTGTTGGGGAGTGTGCACTTGTTGTATTCAATCAACAAGGGAGCCCTGGGTGGCTTGCTGTCTGCTGCGTCAATGCCAGCTGCTTGGGCCGGAGCTTCTTGGGTCAAGCGCTTGCGCAGCGCAGAGCACCAGTCCAGGGTGTTGGGTGCACGGATGTGGACGCTGATGCAGTTTTCCTCTGGTGCTGAGGTCAGCGTGAAAGGATGCCACTCACCCTTCCAGCCCAGCAGAATGTACTGACCAGCCTGGTAGGCAAATCCCTGAGGTAGCTCAAAGGTCAGCCCAATCACATCCCTGGGCAGGAGTTTTACACTCTTCAAGTGGAGGTAAAGAGCTTGGTGGTTGGCTAAGAGCAAGCGGTCCACAATCACGAAGATGGCTGGGAAGAAGAACCAGATCCAAAGCCGTGCAGGAGCATGGAGCAAAAGCAACACATAAATCAACTTCCAAGACATGTGAATCCTCCAGAACAAGTTGAAGCCACCAATTCGACGAGTCAGGCAGTTGGTGCGGCGTCGAGAGCAGTTCAGCGCAGTGAGCAGGATGGCCAGCATCATGACGGTCAAGATGATGCCAGTGAGCCCCGCACAGCCCAGCTGAATGTTGAAGATCTGCCAGCGGAGAGGCTGTTGCACCGCATGAAGTTTGACAAAATCTGTGCCAAATGATGTTCGACAAAATTCCAAAGATAAAATGGAGAAAGAATGGAGTAGCCAACATTTTCCGGGGCCCAGTCTGTCCTTAAAGTTCTTAAAGACTCTACATGCGAAATCTGCCCTGCCTGGTGGAAGAACGTCATGCCACTGGCCTTTTCTTCCGATGTCAGCTTCCAAAGATCGAAAGGATCTGACTGAATCGTTGGAGCTGCACGGATGAGGTAGGCATGCACACAATGCCCAGCAATGTGAATGGCTGCTGCAATCATGGTGAACATGGCAATGACAATGTGAAAGTTGATGGGATCATCAATGGGAACCCACTCTCTGGAAGAACCCACCCGTCTCATGGTGGTCTGAAGGCTCTTCAGAGTAGGCAGCACCAACAACGCAAAGTTCAGGTCCATAGCATAGCCGCCGCCCTTGGCACAAGGGTAGGCCCAAGACTTTTTGAAGCCGCCTGACATGTTGGATAAGAAGCCAATCGCGAAGACCACCACGTTCATCAGGAACAAAATGAAAGTGGTGAGCTGCTGTTCTCCCAGTCCACACTTGCGGAAGCATCGTGTGATGGATTGAAACCATGAAAGTGACTCCTCAGGCAAAGCCACTTCTGCTGCTTTGTCAGTGCCACCCTCTTCATCTCCACAATGAGCGTTGGCTTTCTTGGCCCACTCCCTCCTTCGCTGTGCCACAAGCTGTCTCCTTTCCTCCACAAGTCGATCCATGGTGGCTTTTGACAGGATCCATACCAAGAGTCGAGGTCGATAACGTCTGGAAAACAGCCAGCTCCCAGGCTTCCTGTAGGCATGGATTGCAGCAATGATGTAGATGATCAAGATCAAACCCAGGAAAGCTCCAACGCCAAGTGCAACGTTCTCGGCGTACTCAAAGGCAAAGCCAGTGACTTTAATGCTACCCTTGTGAGATCGGTTGGTGAAATCATTGTTTCTGGTGCTGGCAAAGTGGTGCTCACCCACCACCTTCATCTCGACCAAACCACCATCAAAGTAGGCTGACGCACCATTCAGTTGCTTGCAATTGGTCTCAGAGTTTTGGTCGTTGGTCTCTGGATCACAGGTCACAATCTTGTCTTGGTCCAGATAGGCAAATCGATCCACCAAGGCCTTCCCCTCGGGATCATTGGGGTTTGCCTGGGCATCAAAGAGAAGCGTCTGCTTCTCCAAGGGCAACGGAATCGTCTCAGCCCGTGACTGGACCTGAACCAAGTTGGATCGGTCTGTGCCAGCACGACCGTTGCCCGCATTGTTGTTATTGTTGGCATCTGATCCTGTCCATTGGAAGTGCAAGAGAGTGCCAACCTCCACAGACAGCTCTGATGGAATGAAGTCGTACTCCACAGAGGGGTACACTTGAACGATGTTTCCACGACGACCGCGGATGTTCAAGTTCACAATCCGTCGGTCCATGGGGACATCTGCCGGCCGCTCCATGACCATGAAGGTATGTGTTCGGTCCTCAAATGTTCGGCCAAACTGGTTGGTGTTCACTTGAAGCTGCAAAAGACGGCTGGTGTCAAGTGCATTTTCTCCCAGGCCCAGCCAGTCTGCCACAGGATCTTGGGCCAAAGGCAAGGGAACACCAGGTCGTCCACTGAAGGTCCTGCGACGACGATTGTTGGGGTTTGGGTCATTGAACTTGGCATCCATGAAGAACGGATCTGCTTTCATGCCTTCAGGGTCTCAAGGGTCTCAGAGGTCCCAGGTTTCAACCCGTGCAGGAAGTCAATACAATTCAATTCAGTTAAAACTGATGTACAATGAGTATATTAATGTATATTATATATATGAGCGATTGTGAAAACCCTAGGTTCACGGAAAGGACATCCACAAATTTGGGAAGGTCCCATCGCTTACCACACGTTTGTACAATAATGATATATGGTAAACTTGGGGGGTATCGCTTGCAGGAAACTGCTGCATTTATATATATATATATATATGTGATGAACTATGAATAATATGCGATATTTGGGTATCGCTAATGTGGATATTAAAGAAATATGATGACATAACCTTGAAAAGGGGTATCGCTAATTTGGGAAGGTCCCATCGCTTACCTCGTGTTTTTAACAATTTCCATCAATTCCCAGAAACCAATGTCCGTCGAATACATATTTAGTATTGCCGGGGTTTTTACGGTTGCTCATATAATGTATACACAAGGTATCATAAGGTTACATATGTGTCATACGTGTTTGCTTTCTATGTTCTCTGATCTTTT